CATTTTTGAAACTTCTGCATGATGTGATAGAGGTTGTTTCTTGCAGGGAGAATATGAATGAATTTTACGTAATGATTCACATCATGAAAGCAGTCAAACTCACTTATCAATCCCTGCACTGGTGACAGCGAAATGTGCTGAATCTACACTAGTGGCCAATATTGCGGAAACACCTAGCATTTTTGGCATTACGCTTTAAAAATCATTACATGAATTTTGGCAGTAATGTTTATAAACAATCAAAGAATGTTTACAAATATCATACATTTGATGATTAAGTAAGTAACTGGAGTCACTAGAATAAAGTTCTGCAATTTCTAAAAACTGGACCTGTTTCTACAATTTTGGCCTCTAGTGTAGGAAGTTACCTTTGATTCTGCCTTGACTTTATATTGAAATGGTAAATAATTCTGGCCCATTGGGTAGTGTGTTTACATATCACAAAGAATATTTGGAATGAGAGTTTATTTAGACCTATATGGAGAGATTTTGTTTTGCATGTGGATTGTGAGAAGATGCAGGATTCAGGTTTAGCATGTGTTTGGTCAGAAGAAGGGAACCACAATGAAGATGGGAGTCAGAGGCTAATGGTGGTTTTCTGGTGGTGATGCTGGTATGTGTTTGTGTGTGTGTGTGTGTGTGGAGGGGGTGGGGGTAGCAGGAAGGGGGTGTAAAGGGAGTCTGGCAGCTGTGTGGAGGGTGGGATTCATAAAGTGAGCACCAGCCATCCGTAAAATTAGCTAAAACTTGCGAACTGGGGGCTGCGTGTCTCTGTGAAATGAAGTTTCCTTTGTTCATTAATCACCCACACTAAGCTGGAAGTTGTCATCATAGGTGTTTGCCTGTCATCACATTTTGCCGTGTCTTGCAGGGCACGTCAGAAATGATGGGGAGAGAAAACACCAACAAATGATTAATGCTATAATATCAGCGATAAACATGCCAGTGAGTGCCTTGACTTGCAGAGGATGCATCATCTTGCTGGCCAGCAGACACACCTGAACATCTCTGAATGTGTGGAGTGGATGTGGGACCCAGAGGCACTTGCTGCTTTGAGGGCTGTACTCTACCTGAGAGGGTGACACCCCTGATTGTCCCATGCTAGTGGACTGTAGGTGGCTTCGTAGGTGTGGTATCTGCTCAGATTCTGCATGAGGCTGTTTGAACAAAGTGCCAGAGCCCTGTGCTCTCTTGTGGAGCCAGCGTGGCGAATGACGTCAGACTTCTACCACACTGCGGATACTGGAAGGTCTTGCTGTGGTTGCTGGTCTTGCAGGTATATTTATGTGACTCAGACTTAAACGATGCCCCATTCTGACACTAGGAGCTTCGCCTCGCGCTCTGACTGTGCCTCGCCTGCTCAGGTGTGTCGGTGTTCTATGCCAAGGAGTTAACGAAAAGTGTGGAGCCGACTGTGTGCTTCCGAATCCTGTGAGCGCCTTCTGCCATGTCCCGGGGCTGAAATTCAGGGCTGATGGGGCAACAGAAGTAAACATCCAGAAAATACCATGAAAAAACCTTTGAAGGCATCTCAGGCATGTAGCTTGTTGGAGAAAAGGTTGTATTCAAGCAGTTGTATTTTAACATAAACAGACAATAGAGATTTTGGCCAGCACTTGATTATGTATTTTATATATTTTTGACTCTGCTACTTGCCATATAGGAAAAATGGGGTCTGTTTAACTGACTTTTCCGTTTAAATTGGGACACAGACTCAATGTAGGCACTCTAATACTGTAAATAGGCATGCAGAGCCTTGTGGCTGTTGTTTCCCAGATAGGCTCTTGACCCCTAAGATCCTACAGTGGACAAGCGGATATGGAAGATGGATGGAGAGATGGATCGATTGATAGATGGATGTATATGTGGATGGATGGATAGGGTTAAGAAACCTTTCTCTCACTTTATAATTATACCATATGAGATATATTTGGGATCTATGGATACAAAAACTAAACTAGCCTAATTTTCAGATTTTGCAAAACAAGAACAGCTTCTTGGTTATGAGACTAATTTGTTAGTCTGTTGTAAGTGGGCCATGCACATAAATGGGATTTGTGATTTAAATGCACGAGGTGAACAGAACGGTACAAGAGGTCAAGGAGGTGCTGAACCAAAAATACCTGTGTGTCTTGATGAACAACGTAGCATGGTTTCAGGTGTAAAAGCTGAATATTTGGTACTGTGTATATATATAAAACAGTGTGCATACAGTCTTAGGCAGTGAGAGGAAGTGTCTTTGTGTTGGAGTAAAACTATGATATTGTCTCTGTCAAAGTATGTCAGCTTAGCTATTTTAAAACAGCTTCTAAAATCACTCCAAAATTTGCAGAAACCATCTAATGCACCCATGTATTTTTACCTCATTGAGTCATTTAAGTAACTGAATTAATGTGGTGGTGAACTTCAACGAAAACACGGAATGGCTGGGGTGCCCCTGAGGAGAGGTTTGCGAAATAAAGCTGAGATCTCCTAGCTATCTCATTAGATATCTGTCATTTTTGTTTAGAACAGAAGAAGTTCTTGTTAGTTTTTATTGTGTTACTGCTAATTTGCATATGTTCACACGTTAAATTGTGTTTTACACCATGCAGATAAATAGCTTTCAACATTTTCTTCAACTGTATAGAATTCTTGCACAGTACTGTTTATAAAGAGTTATAAACAGATCTGAGCCAGACTCGGTGGCAAACTATGGGATCAAAGAAATTTAAAAAATCATTCATGTCTCGGTTAGGGACTGACACACAACAGTGTATCATATGGGTTAGGAGAACTGCACTGTCTGTACCTGTAGGGCAAGGTTCCGAGGGATGCTGTTTTAACAGGTATCGGAGTGAAGTATAAAGGAAATGAGTACTTAGGTAAATACCAGGTAAATACCAGGAACAGGTGAGGCTCATCAGAAGCCAGATAGGATAGAAAACCTACTGGATAGTAGCTCTCCAGGGCCGGACTTTGAGACGCCTGATTTTAGTGAAGGGAGTCCAGTAATCACATGACCATTCTGTGGACAGTCTATGAATTCCTGCTGTCTTCCTATGTGCTCAGGCTTTGCACTGTTATCTGAGACTTCAGTCTTAAATCTTCCTCTTGCCAAACGTGCTATAATGTCTTCCAGGGACACTGAGCCCCCACCATCCTATGGTTGGACAGGTAGTTACTAGAATCAGGGGAGGGGGGAAAAGCAATGAGTGAAGAAGGCTCCTGGAAGCACAGGGGGCATTAGCCACCATGACAATGAGGCGGCGGTTTTGTTGGCCAGGCATTTGTGTGAAATGATGTGGTAAAACAGAGGCTGGGGGGGGGGGGATTCCATTCCTTGTCCCCCTCCTCTGATGATGAATGCTGCTGTCTTGGGACTGGAGCCTTAAGCAGATGTTAATGTTTCATAAGAACACCCCCGCCCCCCCCACCCCCATTGGTCTGCCGGCCTAAAGAGGATGCTTCTCGCGTGCCTCTGTGGTCCGTTCCCAGAGATCCAGCCTAACTCCTTCCACCTCCCTCCATCTTTGAGAAGACAAAGGACATTGTTGTTTTCTATGGCAATAAACCTGCTACGATAGCAGCTTTTATAACCTCTCCTTCTCTTCGAAGGCAGGGATATAATGAGTTTCTATTTTACTGCAGATTTTAAACATGAATATTTTATAATAAAGTTTTTATTTTTGTGGCATTCTCTCTTGCCAAGACTACTGCAGATTTGCCGTTTTTTATTATAAGTGCAGCCTGATGAATGGAAATGATTCTCTGAGCTGAAATAAAACATTGATAAATTCTTCTTTGCCTGATTTCATGTTGGCTGATTGGCACCGTTCAGCAGTAATTTTAATGAATTTTGCGCTGATATCATCAGGCTCGCTGATATTTTTACTTAATATCATTACCTTCAACTGCATACATGATTCATCATAGCATCAGCAATTAGGAAAAATGATAAGGACTGCTTAACATGTAGAAGTAAACTTACAATGTAAATACTAGAATAGTGGTTAACACATCAGTAACCTCTACCTAAGATTGTTTGTGGTACATTTTTAAAGTAAATTAAAGTTGCCTCCCCCTCACACTGAACGTAATGGGAACAGTGTTTAAGAAAATACCCTTAATGATTACCGAGGTGTATATATCTCCATTTATGTGTGTGAGTTTTAATATAACCCTACATATACAATGGGATTAAACACAACTCTACCTATTTGTGAGATTGTATGTAAGCTTATGTGTGTATTTGAGTTTATTTATATACAGTCCTATTTATGTGTGGCAGTGAATGAAACCTCCTTGTGTTTGAGATTACGGTAATCCTACGTGTGAGATTTAATATAGCCCTGTGTTTGTGTGAGATTGGACTTAATTATACTTGTTTGTGAGGTTAAGTATAACCCACATGCACACACAGATTACTGCCAGAGTTCCCATTTGTCAGTGGATAATTCTCACCTGTCATCACCTTCCATTACATGGAGATGGCTTTACGGGCCTTACATTACATTAACTGTGCAGTCATGTCCAGCACACTGAGGGCTGAGGAACAGCATGCACAGTCATTTAATCTAGTCTTATTTGAAGATCTCAGACCATTTTTGTTGAATGTGCCATGGGTGATACCTCTGAAAGGGATCTGTACCTTCTGGAACGGACTGGAATGTTCTAGAAGGGACTGGGATGTTCTTTCAGCAGAGCGGCCAGAATGCTGTATTAAGGCTACTCATTATGAGAGAACTCAATGGAATTCATGTGACTCGCCGATTTTCCTTGTCCTCTGGCTATTTACATCCTCTGAGTTAGAGCAGTAGACAGTCGAAATGTCAGTGTTGTGCCTGAAAGACCACAAATACCCTTCTCATTATAATATCCAGCTCCGAGACTGGATTATAATCTGAATTGTAAACTGTAGTGGCTGCTGTGGGAAATCATGAGAGAGAATAAATTATTGTGGGAAATCATGAGAGAATAAAGATTTTTGAAAATAACAATGCTTTTGTTTCTTTCTGCAGAAATACAAAGAATTTGAGAAATTTGTCCGAGTTGAAGATATTGATGGTTTGAAGCTTGTTAAGAAACTGGCCAAAAACATGGAGGAGATGTTCCACAAGAAAGCAGAGGCCATGAGAGTAAGTACTGGGACTGAATATTTGCACCTCTGGGTAGCGTCAAATCACTGTATCAAGGCAGTTAATTTTCTTCACACAAATCGTCCTACTGAAGGCAAAGTCGAAGGCGATATGACATTAAGGTGCAAGCGTGATTTGTTTATTTGTAGCTACTAATAAATTACTTCTATTAATCTTAGGCGGGAAAAACAGGTGATTCAGATTTTACACCTTAGGAAGTGAATTTGTGTCAGAGGGAGGCCGCTGGGTGGGATCTGCATGGGCTATGGTTGCAATTGCTGCCAATATCCAGTGTACCAGCAGAGCGTGAGTGTGTGTGTTTACAGGCTAACCTGCACCAATGCAGCAGCTGAGTAGTTATAAGCTCTGTGCTCACACGGCGGAGCATCCCTGCCTTCTACCTGGAGAATTGCACAAAGAGCGTGGTCACAATGCTTCGGTGGATGTGGCAGACGGGTGTCGCATTTCAGCTCCTCGCAGGACAGGCTCCGGCTCCGGTGCTCTAATCACTTTAATAGCACGCCCTGTTCCTGTTATTGTGGCATATTTGGTGCCCTCGGAATGTAGTGGTGGGGGTGGGGATGAGCAGGGGATGAGGTGGAATGAGGCAGTGCCTCATGTAGCCCATACTGGCAAAGGTTCATTTTAACAGAGAACCAAAAAAAGTTAAACAAATTCCCTATTTCCCTAGGATAGTTAGCATATGTTTACATTTCCCCCCTGCCTATATCTGTGTACATAGTAGAGATTAATCCATCAATGAATTCACTGAAATTCACAGGATTGCTTTTAGATGGTTGAGATGCCATATGTGACAAAAGTGTGTGAGTGTCATTCTGGGAGGTGCGTTTGGGATGCTGGCTTTTCAGTTTGAGGATGTATACTGACCTGGTTGGTGGCTTTTCTGAGGAGAGGCATGGCCGAGGGCGAGTCAGCTTATCTGGGGACCCAGCTGAGGCCAGCATAAACCACGGGAATCAATGCAATGCTTGCTCATTGCAATACAGATGCAACTATAATGAAGAGTAATACCTGACAGTCTGCAGTCTGCCCTTTGTGGGCTAGCTAGCGCCAAATGGGGGCGTGGCCCTGCAGGTTACCGTAGCCTAGGCTATGTGATCACTAGAGATGCAACGGGTCGAAAATCTCTCGGTTCAGTTTGCACCACAGTTTAAGAGACACGGCTTCGATTTGGTGCGGCAGCAAAAGTAAACACCCCCGTAGCCTATAGTTATTTTTCAGCCCAGTTAGAGCGCCTTTAAATGCCATGAAGAGACTGACTTGCAGAGGCTGTATCTGCCCTGCTCCGGTCATACAAACACTCGGATGACGTCGTCTCAAATGAGTTAGCATGTTGGATGTGTTTCCAGCAACATATCCCAGTTTGGTATAACAGAGCCAACAGCCAGTTTGGTCTTATTAACTACTGTCTCTCCAGGGCTGGTATACTTTATTAGGAAGTCAAAATGTTCCCAAAGCTCCGATTATAACTGACTGTAAACAGCATTAGCCATAACCAGTTCACAGCCACAATTAGCATAATGTTTTCCATGTGGAACATCTACTTCTGAATTTAAGTTCCGCTTGTATTCATTTGTTTCATTTCATTGAATTGAGAATGATGCGCTGAACTGTACACGACTAATGCATGTACCTTTATAGCCTTAATATTAAGCCAAAATAATGTATTTAGATGAAATGTAGCTGCATATAATCAATGAAAAAATAATTTTAATAACCCATTATTATTTAGCCTGTCATTATCTAAGGCAAATTTCCCTTTTGAACGGCCCCTATAGTGTAGGGCCCAGTGAGGCCACACTGGGTGCATGGTCCTAAAGACCCCCCCCACCCCGCAAAACAAAGCCAAAGCAGCCATTTCGGTGGAGACAGAGGGAGTACGTGAAATTTGGAAAATTTGGAAACAAGTGCTTGTATCAGACTGTATTTTAACGGGGCCAAAGCAAAAACAAGACACGGGAAGGGCAAATCAACACTTGCAACCTGGTCACCTGATTCCCTGTCTCGAGGCAACCACACCCCCCTCCCTCACAATGAAAGCAGGTGAATATGTTATTATTTGGGGCTTTGATCCTCCTCCCTATGGCGTATGTAATTTTAACAATGTCCTCCCGTAGACAAAGCGTCGGAGCGGTGGAAAAAAATGCTCCGGCTCCAAAGCTTCTCTTCCGCCAAGCGCGGTTTTGCTTAACTGCCATCGTGTAAAAAGTAATTGTTAGCGGTGCGGTAATTCATATTCGGCGCGTCCGAGCGACAGTCTGCTGGCGCAGACTTATCTCTGCCTTCCCGACGTGCTCCTGGCTCTTTATCAGCAAGCAGCATGAGCGCGTCCGCACTGTGCTCTGCCATGATATGTGCCTGTCAGGCTCGGGCTTTTTAAAGATAGGGAGCGCGTGTGCCATTTGTGCGCGAGCGAGCGGGCGTGCGTGCATGTGAGGTTTTTTTTTTTTGTACAGTTATCGACATAATTATAGTGAGAAAAATTGAGTCTCAGTCATATAAAAGATAACTTTATTAGGGGGAAGTTGTATTTCACGTTTGCTCTGGATCTTTTAATTGAAGCTACCATATGGAGATAAGGGACATAATCAAAATGCACTTCAGACTGGTTAGTAGTAAACAAGCCCGCTGAAAAAAAAAAACACCCATCGTGCTTGGCTGCAGCTAAATCGCAGCAGACCATTGTTATTTTTAATTGCTATTACCTTTACTGAGTATACTGTGGGATGAGGTTATCTTCAGCTGCCAGACTGTTCGCAGGTCCATTTTGCCGAAAATGGATGAATAAGCATTGTGCCTTGGAAAACATAAAACCGTAGGATGGCCGGTTTTGGAAAACCTCGAACCTGTGCCGTGCTTCCACAGATTGGTGTGTAAATTGTGCAAATGCACTTGCATTAGTCTGCCATTCACTGCCATGTTGGGCTTTGTTGCATAAATACCCATGAAGTGTTGCGATCACACTGGGTTTCCTGTGTCCTCTTCACCCCAGTTTGGTGGGGTGCCTCAGCTGTGGGTTCACCCTCCAGGCACCTGATGCCGACCTTTCTGCTCTGGCTCATCCGGCCTGGTTGGGGTCACTGCAGTTTCATCTGGATGCTACTGACCTGCCTTTAATGACGGGCCGTGGCTGAACGCTACATAGCAGTTACAGTGTCAGACAAGGAACAGGCCTTTTCTTCGTGTGACACTCAGGATGTCAAGATACCCAAAAGGGAGGGAGAGACAGGAACTCTGCTGCCATGTGTAATAAGCATAGCGGGATGCATGACAGTCCATGAGTAGAATTGCTTTAAAAAAAAAAGAAAAGACTGCTGATAAACTTCAAATTTGCAGCAAAGACATTTAAGGTGAATTCAGACTTATTCCAAAATGATGTATCTTGTTTGCTTCTAATTCATCATCCCACATCTGTTCCTAGCCACCACGAGTATTTATTTGTTGGTGTCACATCCTGTCTGGTCTCACAACTTCAACAAGCACAGAATGCTGCAGCTGCAGTCCTCAACCATGCCTCTAGCCTCTAGCAAAATTCACATAACCCCCCACCCCCACATCTCCACTGGCTTCCAGTAAAGTTTAGGATCGAGTAACAGGTCCCATCTCGCACCTTTACAGCATGTTTTTGCCCGAACTACAGAAAAGTACCTAAAGTATGCATTATTATACAACACAAATAGCATTTCTGCAACTGCTCACCACAGTGGAGAATGATTATGGCATGCGGCTCTGCAGGTTAGGATCAGAAGGTTGCAGGATCAAATCCTGTGCCTGACAGTGATTTTACTGTGCAGCCATTAAGCAAGGCCCTTAACCCCCTTTGCCCCAGGGACTGGATGACCCTGCTCTCTTTCTTGTATGTCTCTTTGGATAAAAGCATCTGCTAAATAATTAAATGTAAATCTTGGGAGGTCTTCCAGACTTATTTTCATTGTTTACCACCTCATAAATTCCACTGATTCCGATAAGCACATGATAAGAGTCTGTTTTTAATTACTTGGGATAGATTAAATCATGTGATAAATGATTTCAAGGATAAAGAACATTAAAATTAATTTTACAGTTTGTGCCTTTAATCACAGTTACCTAAAAATTATATTCCAGATATTACAATATTCATTTCGTGCTACATTAAAATAAGATCACATTTCTGATGATTTGATGAATATTTTCATGATCCCGTAGTATGAACTTGTTTTTGGGTACATCGTACCAATATCCATTGCATTTTTTTTAAGGAATGTATTTGTTGGATTTCCATGACAACATGACAGTAATGCACAGCTAAACATTACATTTATGTAGCAGGTGCTTTTGTCCAGAGTGAAAGCTTGGGGTCAAAGAACATGCTTAGCCAGTATCTGATTGGCCCTGGGGCAGGTAGGTATAAGGGCCCTGCTCACGGGCCCTTCTCGACACAGACCCAGGGCACTAGCCCGTAGAGCCATGTACAACACCATCAGTAAAAGACAAAGGCATACAAGAATACAATGAGACAAGGCTTTTATTTCCTACTATTCCATGACAAAATTTGTACCCGCTAAAAATTCCATAAATGAGTCCCTAATCTTTTGGAAGATGGGGTAGTTCCCATTTTCCCTAAATGTTAGTTTTTCCCCAGTCAGACGGTGCATCAACACATCAAGTCATCCTTGAACATTTGGTCTACTAGCAGACTTTCAGAAATAGACGATTGTGTGTTTGGCTTGCAGCAAATGAAAATATTAATTTTATCCTTTGTATTGCTGAGGTTACAATCTCTGTATTGCATCATTGTTAATGCATCTGGTTTGCAGTTATCTTTAGACAAGGTAACACTTTCATAAGCTCTGTGCTGCAACAGAGCTGCAAGTTCCATCTTCTTCTATCCATCTTCCAACTGCTTATCCTGAATAGGGCCGCAGGGGAGCCTGGAGCCTATATCAAGCAAAGCAGGGGTACGAACTGGACGCGATGCCAGTCCATTGCAGAGTATATGC